CTTCTTCTTCTTCTTCTTCTTCTTTTTCTTTTCTTCTTCTTCTTCTTCTTCTTCTTTTTCTTCTTCTTCTTCTTCTTCTTCTTCTTCTTCTTCTTCTTCTTCTTCTTCTTCTTCTTCTTCTTCTTCTTCTTCTTCTTCTTCTTCTTCTTCTTCTTCTTCTTCTTCTTCTTCTTCTTCTTCTTCTTTTTCTTCCACTTCCAGCTACTCTTCCTCCAACAAATGATTTCTGCAAAAGTTGCAGCTGAGTCAGATCGATGATCTCGTGTGTTTATTGATTCAATGTGACTTAATTTATGGATCTGTTAACACCACTACCCTGCCATTAATTTCTAACATGGCCTACCTTTCTGCACAGATAGGCATTGGCATGTGCTGTTTAGATTGTGAGTCACATTAAGGCACGATGTATGGACAGTTGCTACCACTAATAATCAATGACACTGAAGGACGGGCAGACTAAATGATACAGACATTTCCTGAGGATGTATGCCACATTGCTAGTGGAATCATTACGAACTATTTCGGCTAAGAATGGTATTGTTACTTGTTGATGTAGGGATTTCTAGCACATCGATCAGACCCATTCGTGCTCCGTCTTCCAATGCAGCAGCCATGTCTCAGCACACCCAGTAGAAGTTGCCTGGTATATCTGATTTCTTTGCCCCTCAGCCAGTTTCTGCATGTTTGCCCTCCTTTAATACCTGTTTCCAACAAGCAGTTCATCATCTCTGACTCCTTGTCTCAACGTCTCTGACTCCCTGTCTCAACGTCTCTGACCCCTTGTCTCAACATCTCTGACTCCCTGTCTCAACGTCTCCGACTCCCTGTCTCAACGTCTCTGACTCCCTGTCTCAACGTCTCTGACTCCCTGTCTCAACGTCTCTAACTCCCTGTCTCAACGTCTCTAACTCCCTGTCTCAACGTCTCTGACTCACTGTCTCAACGTCTCTGACTCTCTGTCTCAACGTCTCTGACTCCCTGTCTCAACGTCTCTGACTCCCTGTCTCAACGTCTCTAACTCCCTGTATCAACGTCTCTAACTCCCTGTCTCAACGTCTCTGACTCTCTGTCTCAACGTCTCTGACTCCTTGTCTCAACGTATCTGACTCCTTGTCTTAACGTCTCTGACTCCTTGTTAACTTAACGTCTCTGACTCCCTGTCTCAACGTCTCTAACTACCTGTCTCAACATCTCTGACTCCCTGTCTCAACGTCTTTGACCCCCTGTCTCAACGTCGCTGACTCTCTGTCTCAACGTCGCGGACTCATTGTCTCAACGTCTCTGAATCCCTGTCTCAACGTCTCTGACTCCTTGTCTCAACGTCTCTCATTGTCTCAACGTCTCTCATTGTCTCAACGTCTCTGACTCCTTGTCTCAACGTCTCTGAATCCCTGTCTCAACGTCTCTGACTCCTTGTCTCAACGTCTCTCCTTGTCTCAACGTCTCTGACTCCCTGTCTCAACGTCTCTGACTCCCTGTCTCAACGTCTCTGACTCCATGTCTCAACGTCTCTGAATCACTGTCTCAACGTCTCTGACTCCCTGTCTCAACGTCTCTGACTCCTTGTCTCAACGTCTCTGACTCCCTGTCTCAACGTCTCTGACTCCCTGTCTCAACGTCTCTGACTCCCTGTCTCAACGTCTCTCTCTGACTCCCTGTCTCAACTCCTTGTCTCAACGTCTGACTCCCTGTCTCAACGTCAAGGTCGACCTCTGTGGCTTAGTCGTTGCGAACGCGCTTCGTGATGGCGGGGTGCCGGGCTCGATCCCACCTGCGGACGAGTTTGTCTTGCTTTGGTTTCGACAGTGGTATCAAGAGCCGACCGTACAGAGGCAATGGCAAACTACTGGACGTAAATTTGCCTAGAAAAACCACAACAGCTAAAAAAAAAAAATTGATGGAGTTGGTTCCTCAACGTTCTGTAAAGATACGCATATAACTTTTAACTTTAACTACTACAGACACATTCAAGCGTGTCCTAGTGTGTACAGCTTAGATCATTTCTCCAGGTGGAAGTTCTGGCTGTGGTTTTTGATTGTGAAGAAATTTTTAGTTCCATCGATACCTAATTTTTAGCAAAGTTAGTCGTGTCGCTCATGGAGAAGAGAGCTGGAGAATGAAGTTAGAAATATGGGGAGGACATGGGGAGAGCTTCATGTAATGGCGAAGGATAGAACGACTTGGCGTGAGTTGGTTGAGGGCCTATGCTCCATTGGGGGGTAGAAAGGCAGAAGAAGAAGAAGTCGTGTCGCTGTGTGTGTTTTTAATTTTAAAGTGATGGTCCTGGAACCACATATTGTTATGCAGCGGGAATTTGAAAGGTGCCGCGATCTCTTGGAGGCTTGATGCTTGTCTGCCGTCCCGAAGGTCTTGGCTTCACATATGCATCGAATCGATCGGATTTTTATTGTAGAATTAACCCTGGCTCACAGGTAAACCCAGCTTAAAATTATTACCAGGCAAAGTCCTAGGAAGTAAAGGCGGCAAGCGTAGTGTTGACCACATCAACCATCGAGTACTGACTGGTCTACAAAATATGAAATTAGCCTCAATTACCCTATGCGTCACTTGCATAAAAAATGTTCTTTGCTTTTGCTTTTGCTAACCATATATCCTGTATATAAGATTATCTTTATATATATATATATATATATATATATATATATATATATATATATATATATATATACACACATATGTGTGTGTGTGTGTGCGTGTGTGTGTGTGTGTGTGTGTGCGTGTGTGTGTGTGTGAGTGTGTGTGTGTGGGTGTATGTAAATATATGTATATATATATATATATGTATATGTGTGTGTTTATATATATGTGTGTGTATATATATGTATATAATATGTGTATATATGTATATATATATATATATATATATATATATATATATATATATATATATATATATATATATATATATATATATATATGTGTGTGTGTGTGTGTGTGTGTGTGTGTGTGTGTGCATATTTATATGTATAAAAGAATAATAGTAAAAACTGACATTCTAGAACATAACCATCTTTTCTCGGAAGCTAAATATTTTAGCCTTGATACAAGCGCCACTTCGTTTTGGAAACAATAAAAGCAGAAGGCATGGTACCAGGAAGGAGGGGCAGGGTTCGACCAACACAAAGATGGGCACAGGATATAAGTGACTCTTCAGATATGAAAGTGCAAAAGGCGGCAGATATGGCGAGAGACGGAGTTTTTTTTTTTTTTTTTTTTCAGGCAGACCGTGATGACAGAAAGGACCTATTACATGATGATGATATTGATGATAATGGTTATGATGATATCCAGTATATGTGAAGGTTTCTGAAAAAGAAAAAAAAAAAAAAAGGGGGGGGGGGGAGGTCCCTCAAATGTACTTTTCCTAGCAAATATAAAACTGAAAGTTGAAATGATATTTTCTTGTTTCTTCTAGCTGCAGCCAGCGACACAGTTGGGGTAACGTAAGTATGCACGTGATTTTGTAGAGATATATTAGTTTGTGCTTCATCAGATTAAACTACATTGTAATTTAAAGGCCAATAATGACACTCTGTATAGTGATCTACAGATGGATAGAAGCTGCGGGTCGGCCTTTACTAAGATTTGGTGGGGGAGGGGGATGTTCGCAAGCGAGGCATAAATGATACAGGTATTGATGTGGATTCTTGGGAACAGTGTGCTATGGATCGGAAGGGAGCATAAATAACACAGGTTAAGCCCTGAACGTTCGAGAAGATGCACCTCAAATACCTGTGATGGTAAGCAACTGTGGTCCTGAAATATCATGTATTTCTTTTTCGCATTCGCCGGCTTCAAACTCCGGCGGAAAGTTCTGATTGTTCGTCCACTTCTGGACACTAGTCCTGTTCCAAAAACTATGTGTTGTGTGCACATCCATTTCACATATCTGACTCATTTGCACCCATGATGTTGGTTCCCTGCCTCTCAGGCAGATGTGCTCCGACTTCGAAGGAAGCTTCCATTTAGTCGACCTTTACGACATGCTTCTGGGCAGGCAGTGGGTCTATTCTTGTTTTCCCAACAATGGGACCCACGTAACCCACACGGGGATATGATGTATTTGATCTGGAAGATGTTTCATGCTGTAAGCGCCTCCTGCCAGGGACATTCGCCATGTCCATAGGCTATGATTCCCTGAGTACAATATACCGCTATCACCGGGGAAAAGGAAAGAAGGTAACAACTAGAGACACATTTCGACACCAATCCCCTTCTTCTTTTCTCTACTCCTGGAATGCCTCGCGGCGTCAGGGCAGGAAATGATCTCTAAAACGGACTCTTCTGTTCGCTTCGTATATTGTACTTTACAGTGTCTCTGATATTTCTGCGGTCCATCTTCTGGCTCTGTTACCGTTGTATCTGTATAACAATGCTGTCTGTGGGGCCCTGTCTGCTGCCAATTTTGTTACATGGTCAAACCATTTGATTTACACCAAGCTAACACTGATAAACGCAAGTCACTTTCATGAGTCGAACTGTCAGTGCACCTCTTTCATTTTTTTGGTGTTCGCCCTTAAAAGGACGGTTTCGTATCTTGTGTTATGGTTTACAGCTAGACTGCAATATCTGCAACTTTCGATCTAACACATCTGACACCAGCAAACCTTTAATTGAACGCTTTGTACAACATGCTTGTTGAGGAGGGCGGGGCGGGGCGGGGTGCTATTCTTTTTCTTCCCAAAAAATAGGGTCCCGGAGTCCATACCGGGAATCAACCCATCAAATTTAGGAGCTAGCATTCAGTTAGCATCCACCACTTCACCAAACCACAACACTGAGAAAGGACAGATGATAATCTTCTTCGCGTTCACCGGCTGTAAAGTCCAGTAATCTTGTAATCTTAGTTTCAGCTTCATAGCAAACGGGCCACCCCATAGTTGCTCCGCTCCTGTGCCAACGAAAAACACACAGAATGTTTATCACAGTCCCCTGTAGAAAGATTGACACATTAAAAGCATACGGTAGCCATCAGAAGTGCTAACACAAACAGTCCGACATTAAAAATGCAGTTCATCATTGATGGAAGCAGAAGTCACCAACAGATCAGCAGTTGCACACGTGATCAATTTTAATCATATAATGGCACCACCAATATTGCGACAACAGGCATCGCGCCATTATCTGAATCTACAATTTACACCAACACGTTGGTCAAAGTAGAAAAACATTCCAAATGAAATCCTTAGCTCACAGTGTCACGCCATGCACTCAACTCAGAAGCTGGGTGACGAAACTATCCTTTCAGTCTACAAATGGTGCAAAAATGCACCGGCCACCGTCTAGCAAAAGCAAAACAATTTGCCGCGGCTCACAACAGTGACCATACAAAGCATAAAGTCCAGTGCAAAGTTCTGGTTGTTAGTCCACTTCTGAACTTCGGTTTAGTTTAAAAACTTGCGTTTTGCGTACACATCGGGTTTTTCATTTGGTTTATTTGTGTGCAGATTGTTGGTTCCTCGCCTCTCAGGCAGATGCACTCTGACTTGGAACCAAACACCCCCAGTTTGTCACCTGATACATGTTTTTATGGGGGTAGTGGGTCTGTTTTTAGTCGGCTCTGTGGCTAAGTCAATGCGAACGCTTCCTTAATAACGCCGGGGTGCCGGGTTCGATCCCAGCTGCGGGCCATGCGCCTTGCGTTTGTTTCGACAGTGGTATCAGTGGGCCGACCGTCCAGTAAGCAATGGCAAACTACTAGACGTAAATTTGCCTAGAGAAACCACACAACAGCCAAGGGCTGATGGGGTTGGTCCTGCAACGTCCTGTAAAGGATACGCAACTAACCCTGTGGGTCTGTTTTCACTTCCCTTAAAATGGGGTCCCGGAACACACACAGGGAACTTTACGATAATTAAAGACATTTTTTTATTTCTACTGCTGGCTAAAAATAATTACTAAAACAAAGCTTTCATTCCTTCCACAGCAGTGGAACCACCAATGAAGAACGGGTGAGTTGTTTTTGATCTTTTTATAAATTTTTTTTGGGGGGGGGGGGGAGCAGTGGTGGTATAGTAGCTTGATGGTTGCACGCCGGCCTGAGTTGCGAAAGGTAAACGCAATTTTTCGATATTTTAAAGCCCCACTCCAGCTGTTGCCGGGGGCCCTAATATAACCAAATATGTGAGTTAAACGGGGTTTCTGCCACCTTTTCCCAGGTGATCCTCATCCAAATGGTGGCACTTTGTGTCACCGGGTGTGTATGGCTCGGTGCCATGTCCTGCTGGGGTTGAACGGGGTTTCTGCCACCTTTCCCCAGGTGATCCTCATCCAAATGGTGGCACTTTGTGTCACCGGGTGTGTATGGCTCGGTGCCATGTCCTGCTGGGGTTGAACGGGGTTTCTGCCACCTTTCCCCAGGTGATCCTCATCCAAATGGTGGCACTTTGTGTCACCGGGTGTGTATGGCTCGGTGCCATGTGCTGCTGGGGTTGATCGTCAGTCAACAATCGCCGGCCTGATTGCCCTGGGTTTCATGTCCAGTCCATATGGATGCTTACAAAATAAAGTGATATGGACTGCCAGATTGGCTCAGCTGTGTACCAGTTAATAATCCTGGGATGCAGACAGGCGTGATAACGAGAATACCACCGCTTGAGTCCGGATTGATCATCATTTAGTGGCTCCTTTATGGAACGTCGCTCTCGTCACATCATTATCATCCTCATGTGTACTGCCAACTGGTGTATGCGCTCATGCATCTCCACAGATCACGATCCCTAGTTGCCTGGAACAGCTCTCTTGATGATATTCCTCCATGTCATCGTTTTAACCCATCCAGCATCATCTCTCTTGGTCTGCCTCTACTCCTTTTCCCAGTGATCTTTCCAATTGTCATGATGTTCTCCAATGTCCCTCTTCTCATTATGTGGCCAAAGAACAGTGTTTGTCTTTTTCTTATTGTTTTATGTAGAGATCTACTTTCATTAGCTTCTTTCAAGCAATCGTTGTTAGTTTCTCTGGCAGTCCAAGGTATTCGTAACACTACTCTCAGAAACCACATTTCTATTGGTTCCAAATTCTTCCTCATTTGTTCAGTGACATTCCAAGATTCGCTGCCATACAGCAGAACAGGTTCTATGTAACATTTTAGCACCCTCTTTCTGACATTAAATGAGAGCGATTTGTTGCATAAGATTTTTTTCATTTTCCAAAATGCTGTTTTCGCTTGACCTATTCTGCTTTTAATCTCTATCACAAATTTTCCATCTGATGATATGATTGCTCCCAGATATTTGAATTTATTGACTTGGTTAAGTCTTTTTCCTTCAATTGAGATATCACAACGGGGAGTTATCTTCTTCCTTGATGTAACCATTACGTCCGTTTTCTTAATATTCAATGAAAGTCCTTCCTTACCACTTTCCATCCCCACATATCCAGCAGTGGTTGTAGATCAGTTACATTTTCAGCTATCAAAACTTTATCGTCTGCATAACGCAAACTGTTTATATTGTATCCTCCAACTCTTACTCCTGCATTCTTTTTAATTTTCCCTCACAATTATTTCACTCTCATCACGGCACACCTTATAGGTTATCTTTCTCTAGTCCAGTGGTTCTCAACCTTACTGATGCCGCGACCCTTTAGCACAGTTCCTCATGTTGCGGGGCACTCACGTTGCGATGACCCCAACCATTCAATAATTTTCGTTGCTACTTCATAATTTCTATGAATACGTGTTTTCTGATCGTCTTAGGCGATTCCTGCCGAATAAGTTATCTATCAATCGGTTTGTTTCATTCGGGGTTTGTTCCATTCGGGATTTGTTTCATCCAGGGTTTATTCCATTCGGGATTTGTTCTATTCGGGATTTGTTCCATTCGGGCGGGTATCTGAAGGTTAAATATACCAACAATGGATTACAAATCTCAGTCTGGACCAGCAAAGTAGATCTCAGAGACCCCGTTCAACCTCCAAATGTGGTTATAATTGTGGTATCTGTAACGGTTACACAAGCCAAGTTAACCCGCACTCCTATGCGGGTAAAAATGAATGGCGTGAAAAGGGTCAAAAGCTTAGTGCACTTTTTAGACTACCTGATGTGACATAAAATTCTTCTTTTGTAAATGTTTGAATTAATTAGTTAAATTGTTAGCAACAAAGAGACAATTACACAAAGTGATACAGTAATAAATTGAGAAAATCTGAAACCATTTATTCGTTTCAGTTAACTTGGAACAGACATAACATTGGATGGAAAGTGCCAAAGAGAGATTCGAACAAGAATCGCTTTGGCAAAAGAAGCCTATTTTCGAATGAAAACTTTATAAATGAGTAAAGTCGCAACTAACTTGTGAAGTCATTCATAGTTTGACAGGGCACCGATTACTTACTCATGTTTGTTAGTATAAAACAGATAATTGCTCAATATTAGTCTTTAAATCTTTAAACATATGCATTTGATGTGATCCTACAGGCGAGAAAGGACAAGCCCAGGTCAAAATCTTTTTCACGGTCCCACCGCCCGGAAATATTTACTCGTCGCCATAGCGACACTTCTGAAACATCCCTGATCGGCGCTCCTGGAGATGTCATTCTGAGGCAGAAGATGGACAGCGCCATTATTTATTCCAAAACAACGAATCCAAACCGGCACGATGACAATAACAACAACAACAATAACAATAAGAACCATTTTAAGACATACTCCGGACACAACGCAACATATGCCGCCTCCTCTAACTTTGTAAACCATACTCCAAACATTAAGACATATATGAACAAAAACAATAAATATATACCAGGAGAAAGGTATTCACTTCCTCAACTTCAAACAAGCAACATCGTTTACCCTGCTTTGTATAAGCCGCCGGCTAGCTGCCATTTCCTGTATAAGGAAAGAGGAGGAACTATAAATTTTGGAGAGGATGAAGATTCGCTTTCATCGACTCCGAGAAAAGATTACCCTATCGACACACCGAAAACTACGGGAATTCTACGCCAGTCTCGTACAGAATCAACAGAACCTCCTCCAGCCATCAACAGTTTTCCTCTCACAGTTACAGATGCCGAAGATACGCCAAGAGCTGATTATGGTCTAGAAATGGCTACACAGATTGATTATTCGGAAAGATTTATCATTAATGTTAAGGAAATTGAAGACATAATAGCTATGTCAGAACAGTCAGCGAACAATACAGGCGAAAAGGAAAGCGGCAAGGCAGATAAGGAAATGGCAAAGAATAGAGAAAATGGAAACATAAAAAGACCGCCACTGTCACCAACCCCAGGAAGACCAGCAAGTCCACCATTCGATGGTGAGGAGTTAGTGGTACCATCTGCGTTGTCTTTATCTAGTCTTGGAGAGAGGCACAACACAGGTGACAGTGGGTTTTCCCAACCGATACCATCGCCGTATAAGGCCAGTTTCGACTTTCAAGTACCCCCACCTTTTCCACCACCACCGCCGCCTCCCCCACCGCCATTGCTTGTGGAAATTGGAAAACAGCGTCCATCGACACCTCGCACCGAGCTGGTCGGCTATGAGATCTCTGAGACCGAAGCCGCATCTATATCTCTCAGAAAATCCTCAACGGGAAAAGAGTTGCCTGAAACTAACACAGCCGCAGAAAATCAAACCAAGCTAGTTCAACTTCCTTTCATGGAAGAACTGAAACGGCGCCAACGATCGATAGACGAAGGAGTCTCCTTGCTAACGCCGGCATTCACCTCTACAACAAATCCTTTACAAGGATCTTCATCCGACAGTAATCTTCGGCGAAACAGCGGGAAAGATAACTCCAGTAACCATAGTGACGATTTGTCTAAATCTGAATCTTCGAAAAACGGCCTGACTCAGAGACCATCCGCTGTTCAGTTTGCAGACGAGCCTCCTGAAATCATTCCCCGTGAAGACGACTACAGTATTCCAGCATACGAGGATGCTGAAGATGAACGGGATATAGAAATGAATATAGTTTTATCATTATCTCCACCATTACCACCTCCTCCCCCGCCATTACCTTTGCATTTCTAGAATATACACAGCGTCGTTTTATCCGTGTTCTGTTTTACTTCATCATCATCATCACCATCATCATCATCATCATAAACATCATCAGCATCATGTAGCAAGCAGGTCCTTTACAAAATGTCGCTCTCATCATAGTCTGCCTGAAAGAAACTCGGTCTCTGGCCAGTTCTCCAGCCTCGTGCACTTTCGTATCCAAGGAGTCACTTATATTTTGTGCCCATCTTCGTGTTGGTGGGCCCTTGCTCCTCCTTTCTGGTATCATGCCTTCTGATATTATTATTTGTCAAATTCGCCGTGGCGCTTTATATGGCCAAAATATTTGTAGCTCCCGAGACAAGATGCTGTTTATTAGCCAATCTTCTTTGATGTTCAGATCTTTTAAAATGTCAGTATTTCTTATTTTCTTTGTCCATGGTATTCTGAGAATATTTATATAGCATCCACTACTTGTCCACACTCCGTGGGGAAAAAAAAAACCGGGCTGATCACAACAACAGATTGTGACGGCCCTGGTTGTCCTGAAAAGGAACATTGTATATTATGACCTGGTGTTTGATTGGCTTTTTCCGGCGGCTTACAGATCGGCAACCAAGCAGCAACAGGGCACCAGCACGGCGACCAGCACGAGGCAGGCCAAGCACCAGCAACAGTCAGCTAGTACCCGTCGATATAATCGCAAAGAGATCTGTCTCACACCAGAACCAAAAATCACAATCACCGCAGCACAGCAAGGAAGCAAACAACCATAATATGAGGTGTGACCACACACCACGAATAAAAGGAAACCATATAAGACAGCTAAGGACCCTTCTTCGATATAGCAGGCCTCCGGGCGGCTGAAAGAGGATCAAATTTGGAATTTTTCTTGGACAAATTGGAATTGGAATATAGCATTTCAGCTCAAACGCCCCTATTTCCTTCCTCAAAGACTGTGAGACAGTCCACAATTCACATTTTTATGTTGCTACAGCAAAGATGTGTGCTCTCAGAATGTGTTACCTTGCCAAAAAAATCAAATAACAATAACACAATAATCAATAAATATTACCCAGTATTGTATAAGGGCTTTTTTTCGTTACACCAGTAGTGCATTGGGCATATGATGCTAGAACCATTTGTTAGATCGATCTGCACTCGATGAGCGAGGTAGTCAACATCACGCCGGACGCCAGTACTTCTCATGACATTACTTGGTACCATCTTCACACTGGGTGTATCTGGGTGCCAAAGAAAAAAAAAATCCAACTCGATACGGATTCGAGCCCAATACAGTCGACCCGCCAAGTGAATGTCTAGCCACAACGCTTTTGCTGCTTTGCATATATATATATATATATATATATATATATATATATTGTGTTGTGAACTGCTGATTTAGAAAATGGCGACTGGCCTGTTGCCAGAGAAACGGTGGTGCCTTATTCAGCGATTTGTTACGTGTGCAACTACTAATCTGTTATAAACTACTCCTTCCATCGCCTATTAACTGCATTTCTAGTGCCAGACTATTTGTGTTAGCATTTCTTGTGTTGTCTTGTGATTTGATGTGAAAGAAGAAATGAAGAAGAAGAAGAAGAAGAGGAGGAGGAGGAGGAGAAAGAAGAAGAGGAGGAGGAGAAAGAAGAAGAGTAGGAGGAGAAAGTTGTTTTTTTGCATTGCAAGCTCAGATCATGAACATAGGTATATTAGAAAACTATCATATCCCATACAATGCATTTTACTGTTGACTTGCCATTGTTGCAACTATGATTTGTAACTGTTATGTTGATTAAAATGTGTGATTCATAAAAGTTATATTAGTTTGTTATTAGCTGTATTGTTTTTTCCTTATATATAAAGATAACAGAACGATACCATGCCTGCCACAGTCATTGGACTTTTCCTTGAAAATTTAAAAAAAAAAATTTAAAAATCTTGAATCAGACATTGAAGATTACTGCACGTGTTCCATTGTGGGTTTGTGGGAGAAGGTGAGATGGAGGATCCACTGCCCCTTAATAAGTGTACTAGGGCGGAGAAGGCCCATAGTACTTACTTACTTTACTTTTTCCTTCCACGTATGCCGCTAAGCGTTGTGGGGAGATGCAAGTTCCTGTCATAAGCAAGGCGGGCAGCATCTGATGTTCTGAGGCCATGCTTTTGGCAGGTTTCGGAGACCCCGTCAATCCACCGTTTCCTTGGTCTTCCTCTTGCCTTATATCCTGAGCTTCTTTGGTTGAAAATTTGTGATGTTATTAGGCCCATAGTACTAAGAAAAAAAGAGGAAAATAGTTCGTTTAGGTGGGGACTAGAAACAAGAATATTCTAGTCCAGGCATAAGATCTGTGTAGTCTAATATGGTCTAGGTAACGAATAAACTAAACTAAAATAAACTAGGCACACTAACTAGAAGTCCTAAGCTGAAGGAAACAACTGCAACTATGAATACAACGTTGAACATAATTTTATTTAACTTCACATCAGCATGGCCAAAAAGTAACGACATAAACGACCACGTGCTGGAACAAAGCCTCAAATATACAGCAATCTACCATCTAACTATTTCTTAGCAAGAATGCAAATGAAAATTAATATTAAATCTAACCAAAGGAAACGTACCATACCGAGCCAATCTCATCACGAACTTTTCCTACGCCCGCCATGCCTGTTAAGTAGCTCATTGTGCGAAGCACAGTCGCTAGGCAGGCTGGCGCAGAAACCGTCCGGAAGATGAATAGCCCTGAAATTTGTCAGTCAGCCGTTTAAATACCTCGTGGGCTGATTTTTCCCCATCTTCCGTCTGACTATTAACTGCCAATGTTACTCCTATTTGCCGGTTGGCATTTTCAAACCAGGATAAACCTTCAAAGACCTTTAATCTGTTGTACTGTAGTCTTCGTCGCTTCCACCCTATTACATAAGCATATCATTGGAGGTATCTTAAGGATGTTTTTTTTTTTTTGAATTTTTTTTTTTGAATTTTTTATATCGGCCGAACAACCGCTTGTTTGCGGAAGCAATTCCTCCCGCTTCTGACTTGGGCAAGGCTCAAATTCAAATCATCATTCGTCATGGCTCAATCTCCATAGCGTACAGACGGGTTTCGCCCTTGTCTTGAAAGTCCATCAGCACCTACTTTGAAAGTCTCCAATTCACCCGGGAACTTCAAATGAGCATAGGATGTGCGATGACCTCTCTGGGCGAGGGCCAGAATTACCAAGCATAGTATACCACTGTCTGGTACCGGCATCTCGTGTCAGTACTCAACAACACCTACCTCGGAACAGTACAGCAGTAACTATGATTGCCTGAAACCAGTCTTTGTGATGAAGCAACAGTATGTGACATGTGGTGTCATACTTGACATAGAACAGTTTGTGCCAATAAATCATCTTCACCATGTGCAGTTTTAAAGAATCCACGATCTTCTCTTCTTCCAAACCCAACCAAAGTTTTAGAAAGTGCTGTATTTTTGTTGACAATAGTGAGTGATCAAGGGAACCTTTTCCTATTGTTGAACTTGAACTTCAAGTGCTTTCCGCACATTTAAATGTTAGTTCTTAGCAAGTGGAAATATTTCTACTCAAGAATTGATGCCTAGCTCATTGTCCAGCGCCGCTCCTAGTGAAGTGTGGCTATGAACTGTGGAGAGGGTCAAGTCCATCTCGGATAAGTACATGGGGTTAGGCTGGAATTGCGGCCACCCAAGACACTAGTGCCCACGTTTACTTTCGTCACAAAAAGGTCTTGCAGTGTTGAAATAGTGAAGGGTTGTAGGCAACCCTGAAGTTTTTCTGGAAGAATTCACTTCTGAATTCAGTAGTTTCCTTGGTGTGTCCTCTGCTTTTATTTACTTTTCAGTCTTAACCTGTATTGTCACTTATTACATAATGTATTATTATTCTAGATTCAGATTTGTCAGTGTTCAATCTTTTCCAGTTCTTTTAGATTAGATTGTTTGTTTATGCCGTGTTGTTTGGGCAGATTCATTACGGTGTAATATTTTGACTATGATAGGTTTGCTATCTAGTCTGGAGGCTTCTAAGTGGTGAGGAAGTCAGGCCAAGTTGTACCCAGGTATATTTATTATTACAGTTGAGATCATAATTTGACTAGCGTCACTCCTAAAGTGATGTTGGATGCTCGTTTGAGATACGGAATGTGTATGTATGTATTTGTGTGTATATATTTACTATGTACGTATGTATGTACGTACGCACTTACATACCTACGTATGTATGCATTATGTATGTATATGTGTGTGTATGTATGGCTGTGTGTGTATGTGTGTATGTATGTACTTGAGAGAGTGAGGTGTTGATGATCTATATATATATATATATATATGTGTGTGTGAGACAGGGAGAGAGAGAGAGAGAGAGAGAGAGAGAGAGAGAGAGAGAGAGAGAGAGAGAGAGAGAGAGAGAGAGAGAGAACGAACATTATTTTTTCAAATATATATTCACAAATTTGGCACGCAGGCCAGTCTTACATTCGGCCCTTCCCAACACCCATCTTTCACAGTTGTATTTTTATCAAGAAAGTATGTTATAGTCATGTAATCATCATCATCATCTTCAGGTGCCTTGCCGACTGACGTGGGCGATCATACCACTACATAATCTGCGATCTCCTGCAGCATGTATCACTTCGTGTGCCGACACACCTCCATGCCATGCAACAAGACTGTCAAGAATATTCTCTCGTTGTCTTCCTTTATCTCTCCTTCCACAGATATTTTCAGTGGTCACAATATGTTCTATTTTCTCTCTTCTCATAACATGGTCGAACAATGATGACTGTCTCCTTCTGATGACTGTGATAAGTTGTCTTCGGGCTCCCGCCTCTTTCAAAACCTCTTGGTTGCTCTTTTTGGCTGTCCAAGGTATTTTAAGTATTCTTCTGTAAAACCACATCTCTGAGGCCTCAAGAAATTGTTTGGCCTACCTACCGATTGTCCAGGATTCACAGCCATATGTTAAAACTGGATGCATATAGCAAGCAAGAATTCTTTTTATAACTCT